GGCATTCCGGATCTGGGACCGCAGCAATGCTGACAGCACCAGCCCAGCAGCACAGGCAGGGCACGGGAGCAAGCAGCAGGGACACCCTTGTCCCTGTGGCGGAGGAGGGACTCACAGGGTCCTCAGCCCATCCAGGCCTCTGAACATGCCGCTCCGCACCGACTCCAGCTGGTTGACAGTGAGGTGCAGCTCGCTGACCGAGGACGCCCCCTCGAACGTCCCATCCTCAATCTCTGACACCTTGTTGTTGCTGAGGTTGCTGTGGAGAAGGGAAAGCAAGCTGGGACGGGGAGCTCTGCCCCAGCCCCATCCTGAACCCTGCCTTCCCCACGTCCCACCAAGCACCCCCGTTTCACACCCCAGGCTGCCCTGGCATCAGGACTCCCTTGTGCCTTCCCAGCTGCTGGGCACTCCCAGTGAGGCTGTGCCTGCCCAATACTCACATTTTCTTCAGATGCGGGAGTTTCTTGAAGATGCCAGTGGCCTCTAGGACAGAGATTTCATTATTGTTCAGGCGCCTGGAGGGGGCAGTAGGGAAGAGAGCTCAGGAGATGGCTATGAAGGGCTGGCACAAGCCAAACCCTGAGCCAACCACCAGTGCCAGTGATGCTCTAGTTGCAGGAGTGGAAAGTGGGGTGGGAGGGAGGAGGCTCTTACAGCTCAGCTGTGGACTGCGGGATGCGCTCTGGGATCTTGGTGAGCTTCAGGTTGGAGCACTCGACCACGTTGGATTCGCAGCGGCACTTCGGGGGGCAGATCACATCGCTGTTGCACTCGCTGTTCAGCTGGTAATCCTCCGTCCCTGTGCACCGGTGAGGGCAGCGTGGGGTCCCACAGGCAGAAGTGTGGGGAGCTGCACCTGCCCTCCTCTCCTCTGGTCCTCCCACACCCCCAGCTGGTCTCAGTCTTCCCTAGCTCCCCTCATCTCAACTGCTGTGCACACACTGCCCCTCTGAGTGCTCAAACTGCGTATCTGCAGGGATAGGAGTGTGCTGCCCACCACCCTCTCCCCTCCTGCAACCAAAGCTGGGCCCCAGGGACACCTCTGTGCCCATTAGGATAACGGCATGATGGGAGATGCTGCAACATATCAGTACCCAGCACTTTTGTTACTGTGACACCTGGGAACTCAGCAACCAGAAAGGATGGGAGCTGCAGCATGGTCCTGCTGGGCCAGACCACAGGGCTCTGGCACAACCTGGCCAAAAGGGCACCACACACCCACACATGCACACACAAAAACACACACACGTGGCTTATCCTCTTACCTGGGATGAAATACTGCTCTTTGGCTGCAGAGAAAAAAAAGCCCATCAGCACCATGAGCACACAGACAGCAGGCTGGGACAGGGCTGAGGATAAGCAGGGATGGGGACAGCTCTCACCCGAGCAACGAAACTTCTTGCTCTTGATCTGTCCGATGCGCTTGTTGGCCAGGCGCCGGGGACTGGCACAGCGGGCACCGCTGGTCTCGATGGGGTTGGCCCGCAGGAAGTCTGCCAGCCACTTCAGGTTGCAGTCGCAGACGAAGGGGTTTTGGGCCAAATGCCTGCACCGGGGGGAGCAGGTGACACCTCACCAGGGGCAGCAGGTGACCACCAGCTCCAGCCCCAGCTACCTGCTGAGATGCTCCTGCCCAGGCATCAGAGCCAGTGTGGGCACTCACAGGGTCTGGATGGCCCGCAGGGAGGTGAAGGTGCCCTTGGCCAGGCTCTGGATCTTGTTGTCATAGAGCGAGAGCAGTGAGAGGTTCTGCAGGTCCTGGAAGGCGTCTGCCCGCACGCAGTTGATCTTGTTGGCATTGAGGAGCCTGTAAACAGAGGGAGGGAGGTGAGGCTGGGGACCCCCTTCAACTGCACCACGGGCACTGGTGACCTCAGCCCTGCTTCCTGGTGTCCCCGCAGAGCATCCCACCCAGCCACCAGCAGCTTACAGCAGCTGCAGGGCAAAAAGTCCCTCGAAGACTCCCCTGGGGAGGTCCGTGATCTTGTTGCCATACAGCACCCTGGGAGAGGAAGGCTGGTGTGAGATGGATGGGGGCGCGGTGTGGGGCATGGCTCAGTGGGTATGGCGTCTGCCCCACCTCACCCCACACACCTCAGTGCGGGCACTTACAGTGAGTTCAGCGAGCGCAGTCCCTGGAAGGCGTCGGGAGCGATCTCTGAGATTTGGTTGTTGCTCAGGTCTCTGAAACCCAAAGGGAGAAGGTGGCCTGGACCCCCTTTCTCTTGTGCCTCCCCCCCACCCTCCTGCTAGGTCCAGGGAACTACCCCCAGCACTCTATTACAGAGCTCAGGGTATCTGAGACTGCTGCTCATGTCATGGCAAGTGCCCCATACCCATCAAAGTCAGGGGCTGCAGGCTCACGGCAGTGGACAGCGGGGTAAAGGGTGCTGAGGTTTGGGGTGGGCTGCACACTTACATCCTCCGCAGCTTCTTGTAGGGGGAGAAGGCACCTGGGGGGATGGACTTGATGCCGTTGAGCTCCAGGCGTCTGCAAAGAGAAGGGGGAAGAGATGAGGGCTGAAAGGCTCGCCAAGCTCCAGAATCCCAGTGGTAGGGCTAGGGGGGCTACAAGACCACTGGAGTGGCATCATTCACCCCACAGACAACTTGCAGCCTGTGGTCGGGGCCTTCTCTATCAGGGAGGGGTGCCATGACTGAGGGGACTGTGCTGGCTGGAGCAGGGAGAGCAACTCTACCCCCTCATCCTGCTGGATCTGTGGGTGCCTGCTGCCTCCCATATGCTCTGTGTGCTGTCCCTGCAAGGGCTTTGCACCATAATTGGATTCCCCTAAGGAGATTATTTCTCTATTTACATTTTTAATGCAGTTAAATCCAGGGCTAAATCTGGGCAGCAAGGGAGAAGGGCAAGGCCTGCTGCCCTGCGGGACAGCTGAGCTGTAGAGTTCGTCCCTGTGTCCCCACTGCCTCAAGCCACCCAGAGCCCAGCGGTGACAGTGCGAGGTCATACTCACATCTCTGTCATGGTCTCGGGCAGGTTGGCAGGGATGGCCGTCAGCCCCTTGCCCCGACAGTCCACGATGCCGTTGCTGCACGTGCACATGGCCGGGCAGGAGCCAGAGGACAAGCTGCAGAGCTGGGCATGTCCCACGTCCATTTGTCCTGCCAGGAAAGCAGTCAGTGTGGGAGTCGCAAAGCTGCTGGTGGATAGCAGCACCCCAAGGAAGGGACCCAGGGCTGCACTAGTGGGACAGGCTTTGTCCCCACTACCCGTGTCCCTGCCCTGGCACCCACTGCCTCCCCGCTCTCCCCCTCACCGGAGCAGCTGAACTCGTTCTTCTGGATCTCAGCCACGTTGAGGCCACGGAGCTGGGCTGGAGCCGCGCACTGGGTGAAAAGCCCGATGGTGGGGCGCTGGCGCAGCCACTGCGAGAGCCAGGCCAGGTGGCAGTCACAGAAAAGGTGGTTGGAGTGCAGGCGGCTGTGGGCGAATGGGGCAGTCGGTGGCCATGGAATGGCTTCTTCCTACCCCCCTGCCCGCCAGCTGCCCCATAGGCTCATGCCAAAGGCCAGGGGTGTACAGAGGGGTACATGGAGGAGTCCAGGAGCATCTGTGCTGGCTGCCAAGGACATCTTGCTTGGCAGTGCTTGGGGGTGTTCTGCAGGGATGTCCCCACCAACCCCTCCCTCGAGTTGATAGCACCAGCAGCAGAGCTGGGGACATCCCGCTCCAGCCTGGGGCATCCCTCCCACCGCTACGGCCCTGGCACTCACAATGTCCGCAGCTTGGGCATGTGGTTGAAGCTGGATACAGGGATGGAAGTGATATTGTTGTTATTCAGGGTCCTGCAGGAAGGCAGAGCAGGTCAGGTCAGGATGGCCAGGCCATAAATGGGAGAGTGAGATGGTCCAGGTGGCACCAAACCCCTGGGAGCAACAGCACCCACCCACCCCCCAGGACAGGATGGAGAGGTCCCAGCCGGCCCCTGGCCACTTACAGGACCTCCAGTCCCCGCAGGGCACGGAAAGCCCCATCCTCGATGCAGCTGATTTGGTTCTTGTCCAGTTGCCTGCAGGAGAAAGATGCAGGGAGCGTTGCTGGGACAGCTTAGGCAGAGAGTGATTGGTGGCTCCTGCTGCCTCCTGCCACTGGGCCAAACTCCCCCATGCCACCCATGCCCACCCCCACTAGGACTCACAGGTTCTTGAGGTCGGTGGCCCCACGGAAAGCTTTCCTGGGGATAGCCTGGATGAAGTTTTCACTCAAGTCCCTGCAGGAGAAAGAGGCAGAGAGGAAAATGAGCGATGCCTGCAAAGCACGATGCCTCGTGGGACCAGCATGTCCCAGCACTCAGTGATCCCTGAGGGGCTCTGGGAAACTGTAATTTGGCTTCAGGTCCTTGGTTTCCCACTGCTCTGATGTCCGTCCCAAGGTGAGTCCAGCTCCATCTGAGGTGGCTGCAAGTGGCTGGGGCTCCCCATAACCGGTGTCCCTGGCTCTGATAAGCAGAGCAGCAGGGCACAGCTCTGGGAAAACCCTACAGACTTAAATACCCTGCGACTGCTATTATTACAGGTCCCTGCTGATTAACTGGTAATTACACTTAGTGGCTCCTAGTAGGCATTCCCATGGAGCCTGCCCCACACTTTAGAGGGCACAAATAATTGGGTCATTAATTACTTCATCACCGTCCAAGTAATCACCCACTTTGCAGTGCTGGGGCACACCGGGCTGGCGTGAGCTCTGTGTTTGTGGGGCTGGCAGTGAGTTGGATGTCCCACTGCGCCTGGGCTGGCTTTTAACAACCACGAAGGCCAAAAGTCTCACTGCAAAGTAGGATCTGAGTGGACTGGTTCAGCTCACCCTATCCTCAGGGGTCCTGCCTATCGTATCTGTGTCCCATGGCTCCCGTGTTGCTGTTCCCTTTCCAAGCCTAAAGGCCAGGAGCTCCTCTAGGCTTGGCAGGCACCTGCATTGCTTGGCCCCAGCCCCACACCAGCACAGCCCCTCTCCGGCCACACACGGGACAGGAGGCCAAGTCCTCAGCTACCTCCTGGCACAGAGAAACTGAGGCACAACATGGCATTTGTCCTATGCAGCAAGTTCACAAGTGAGTAAGGAGCAGGACCAGGGCATCCTCCATGGATTAAGCACCCCTCAGCATTACAGAGGCCACGCAGACACCCTCAACCCAGCCCCAAGAGACGGTTTGGGGTGTCCCTGGACGCCAGCATTTCACACACAGTGCTCACCGGCTCTGCTTCAACATAACAAATGCTGTTCGCTACTGCTATCCCAGGGCAGTTGGGCTGGGCTGGGCTGGAGACACAGCATCCACACTTCTCCTTGTGTCCCCATTTCCTCCAGAAAATGGGCTCAGCATGGCCCACTGCTGGCAAAAGTCCTAGAGGTCTCCAAATTAGGATGTCACCCCAACAGAAAGCTTCACTGCCACCATGTAGAAATGTTGCCAGAGGGAAGCACCGGTATCGCTTACACAGAAGCAGGAGGAGAAAGAAAACCCATGGATAGCGGGCTTACCCAACTCTCTGCTGAGATGCCCGACCACGAAGGAGAGTGCAGAGGCAGAGGCTGGTGCATTGCTCTGGGTGGTTCCTGAGGACCCAAGCCCGGCTGGCAAAGCCCCGCTGCTGGGTAAGGAGAAGGGAGATGCAGCCCGGGAAGGGCCCGGGGCTGCCGGGGAAGGGAAAGCCCAGCTCCCCCAGCAGCCGGGCGCGCAGCAGGCGCAGTTTCACCGCTACCCGCGCGGCGGCACTGCCAGGCTGCCCGTGCTGCCTGCCCTGCCTGCCCTGCCTGCGCTGCCTGCCCTGCCTGCGCTGCCTGCCCTGCCTGCTCCCCGCAGCCCTGCCCAGGCTGCTCCAACCCTTCCCAGGGTACCCCGAAGGGATCGAGGTGGCCTCGCACTCTCCAAAGACACCTGCAGCAACCTCTAACATCCCATCACCCCTTCAGATGCAAATGTCCCCTCTCCATTCTCTGCTGGGGCTGCAATTAGCCCAGGGACCTCCAAGAATTGCACTGATCTTTCAGAAAAATGCAGCATTGCCCCAAATCCCCTTTTCTCTTTTGGCTCCTAGAGGAAGGAATCCCCTAGAAAAACCTCTGGAAACCCCCCGAGTTCACCACTCTTCCTAGCAATGCATCGCACTCCCTCTTGGCAGCTGCCTTTCCTTCAACATTAAACCAGTCACAGCAGGGCCAAGCATGTGAGCACCCCCTAAGCTTCTGAGCTCGGCATCCCAGCCCTGATGCTGCATGCCCAGGCAGCCCTTGCCTGCAGCTTGTTTGGTTCCCCCATGAAAACCTTGCTCGCGTTTCTCCACTTGCAGCACATGGGAGTCCCAGCGCGCCCCAAGAGTAAACCCAGGCGTCTGTCTGCAAGCTGCTCACTTACAGCTCGCAAGGGAAACTCTGCGAGAAGGTTGCAACCGACTTTGCAAGGCTTCTCCCCTTCACAGCTTTTTGTGACAGTCACCAATGAAGTGCTGCCGTTGGGGGTACTGAAGCCAAGAGGGACAGACGCTGGATGCAACGGTTTCAGCAAAGCCCCAGTGCTGGTTTTACATTGCCGGCACGGTTACACAGCTGACGACACCAGGACAAACACATGCTTTGCCTGCGGGATCCTCGGGCCCCTGCGTCAGAACAAGGCACGGCCCCTTCCCTCCTGGTGTTTAATCGCTCCCAGCTATGTTTGCTTTACACTTTGGCGCCGAAGAAACAGCAGATGGCATGGCTTCTCCTCGCTCTGCCGCGGCTTGCAGCACCCTCAGCGGCTGTGCCGGTGCCACACACCAGGACAAACACATGCTTTGCCTGCGGGATCCTCGGGCCCCTGCGTCAGAACAAGGCACGGCCCCTTCCCTCCTGGTGTTTAATCGCTCCCAGCTATGTTTGCTTTACACTTTGGCGCCGAAGAAACAGCAGATGGCATGGCTTCTCCTCGCTCTGCCGCGGCTTGCAGCACCCTCAGCGGCTGTGCCGGTGCCACCTTGCCCCCCGCCAAACACGAGCGTGTCGCTGCCATCACACATGGAGCACCAGCGGTGACCATGAGCGCTGATGCATCCAACAGCCCTTCTGGGGACTGGCTGGGTGACAGGCACAGGCAGAAGAGGGAGAAAGAAAGCTCCCTCCCAGCTGCCGTTTCTGCCTTTTCTGGTTTTGCTCACAGTGTCATAGTTTAGGGCTGGGCTGGCCA